AATATATTATATGTAACATTTTTTCAGCAAGATAGCTTTTTTTCCCCCATTTGGAACTTTATTTAAACACTATCGCTTACAAAGCTGTTCATAATACAGTTATTCAGATGTTCAATATTCCAACACCAATCCCATCACCAATGTGGCCTTCTCTCTGCAATGTCCCCAGTTACCCAACCCAGCCTGTCCCCCTTAGAAGGCACAAAATAATTTACGTTATATTGTTTGTTACAACATACATCTCATAATGGTGTTACTAAAGTCATTGTCTGTTGGATGACACTGGTTTGCCCTTCCTCCCTGGTGGCAGGGAGCTTGAATTTATTGATTGTTCCCCCAACCTGTCAATTATCTTTGCCTCCTGATCAGACTCTGCTGACTTGTAAGTATTGTTTCTCTTCTCCCTAATGTCCTTTGCATGGTTAGTTACTTCAAGGCAGCTGCTTTTTGTATGGACACAGGAAGAGAGTTAAAAAGACAAGCCTGTAGGGGCTGGAGCGATAGTACAGTGGGTAGGGCGTTAGCCTTGCATGTGGCCGACCCAGGTTCGATCTCTGGCATCCCATATGATCCCCCGAGCACCGCCAGGATTAATTCTTGATTTCAGAACCAGTAATAACCCCTGAGCATCACTGGGTGTGACTCCCCCTCCAAAAAAAAGAAAAAAAAAGTTAAGCCTGTAACTTGGGAGTTAATTTACACCAGATAATATTACTTCCTGGACATCTGCTCTCTCAACTTAAGCCTCAGTTACCCTTACTTCCTAGATTCCCCCAAAGCAGGGTCCTGAGGAGGGACTGGATGGACCCAGGGCAAGTAGTGCTACCTTGGCAACGAAATGGGCCTGGCCAAAGTGCTATAATGCTTAACTACAAGTCGAGAGCAATGTCCTGGACAAATTCTGTCATGATCCAAAAAGTAATAACTAGATTTGAACACTGCTGGGGGTTAGGAATAATTAATTCAGCCTGAGCACTGTAGTCTGAGTCTGTGGCGAGATGTTCCCAATAGAGTCACCCTACAAGCCTAAAAGTGTCTATTACTGTGTCCATACAGAATGGTAAATATTAGGAAGTAGAATTAAAGATGTAAACTAAGTTTCTGGTCTAAGGAGAGGAGAAACACACCTTACGTGCTATTTTGCCCTTATGGGCTACTGGTGGTCCGGAAGACTTGAAAAACATGTTGATTGTGCTTCTTGTGTGGAGACGTGGTTGGGGAGGTGTGATGAGAGAAGAGACAGAGGGCTCTTCTTCTTCCAGGAGATTAAAAAGAGAGAGTGTCTGTGGGATTGGAGAGGGTGCAACGTAGAGAGTGGCTGCGGGGATTAAAGAAGGAGTTGTGGAGTGAGTTAGAGAGAGGTTGGAGAGAGCTGGGCGAGAGTTGGAGAGAGTTTGAGGTGAGACGGGGAGAGAGTTGTGGGAGTTATGGAGAGAGTTTGGGAGAGATGAGAGTTGGAATAAACGGCAACTGATAATCAACCAGCTTGGCCTTCATTCCTCCTTTGTCTACCCAAGGCAACAGCTGATCCAGGTGGGAAAGCAGTCTGAGAGCACCAAACTTGGGTGGCGAGAGAGAGCCGACCTGAGAGCCTGGGAACATCTTTTAACGTGTAATCTCTTACAGCTCAGCCAGAGCGCAAAGGTGTTACACAGCTCCCTCGGCAAGGAGTTTACACAATTGTCGGAGGATTTGCTGAGCTGTTTGGTGCTAGCTGAGCCTTCTGTGTTACTGTTTTCACTCGTTGAGCTTTAGTGGTCTTCTATGCAATGTTCCCATCTGACATTGGAGATGTCACACAGCCATGCATGTGGCCCTGCACTCCAGCGGCTGTGGCACTAGGATGATTCAACAGCATTGTGTCTTGGGCCTACCAGGTTTGGCTAGCTGTGGCAGATCAGTTGTGGGGTTTTGCCCTTTGGATGTAAGAGGAAGCAGATGTGGGTGGGTGGAACGCTGGGCCCTCCAATAGGGTGGGGACTTGGCCTGCCCCATCCTGAAAAAGCTCCGGTGACCTGAGTCAGGAGATTGAACCTACCAGGGTCAGCTCAGCTGCAGCCTCTATCTTGTAAGATAGTTTTTATTGAAATTTGTTTAGAGAGATGTGATGAAAGAGAAAGAGAGAAACAGAGAACACAGGTTTCTCCAGAGTGGAAATATGCAAGCAAAGAAACAGAAAGAAACAAGCAAGGGAGATGCATGTTCAAGGGAGAACACTGGCTTGAAGAGCAAGTCTATACATGGCTCTATTTGGTTTTGTTTTCTTTGTGTGTGTGTGTGTGTGTGTGTGTGTGTGTGTGTGTGTGTGTGTTGTTTTGTTTTGGGGCCATACTTGACAACGTTCAGGGACCAAATCCCTGGGTTTCAGCTCCAGTCTTTTGAGTTATCAACCAAGCCCCTAAACTAAGTTTTAAAACAAACAAAACTTGCCTTTGGTATTAAATGTCAGGATAATCACCACCATTATTAGTCTTTTTTCTTTTAGTCAGACTCAGAGAAGCTAAGAGAAAGAAAATGTTGGGGTGGGTGAATGTTTGACGGATAAAGAGTGAGAAGCAGCCCCACCTAGTGGATAAAAATATGGAAATGCATCATTTCTAGACCTAAAAGCTGATTTGCCTTTCCTTGGGAGCCTGCTACAGTGTCTGCAGAGCTGGGAGTGAGGTGCAGAATCTGGACTCAGAAATGGGATATTCTGTGTCTAAGAAGAGAACAAACTCAGACTTTAGGTCCTGATGCAGGAAGCAAGGCTCAGCAGGGCCTAGCAGAGAAATTTCTCTGGTAGGAGAGGTAGGAAGCTTTCTAGGGCTTCCCTGTGGGCTCCCCACTGAGGGTTCCCTATCCCCAGGCAGTCGAGGTTGGGTTTAGACATTGCCTTTATTCAAGTGGCAGGTGCTAATCTAGTAAGGGAGGCGGGAATTATACTTCTACAGGTGAAGAGACTGAGGCACAGGCAACTTGATTTGTATATGGTAGAGCTGGAGTTTGAGCTCAGGTCTGTTTGACTCCAAAACCAAATCTGAACCAGTGTTCTTCATGTAGGGTTCTTACTCACTCTTTCCTGCTCATCCCCTTGACAACCTGATGAAGCCTATGGACTTTTCTTAGAACAATGTTTTCTTTATATTTGGACTTTGGTGCATACCTGGAAGTACTCAAGGGCCACTCCTGCCTCCGTTCTTGGGGGTTTACTCATGACAATGTTTATTTATTTTCCCCCTTTAAAATTTTATAAAGTAGTTCACAATATTTGATTACATTTGATATTCGAACACTAATCTCACCACCATTACACCTTCCCACACCATATTTTGGATGTTTCCATCTGGAACCTCTGCCCCAAAACAGAACTGAAATAATTTATTTTGTATTGTTTGTTATGGAAAACCATTGAGAACGCTCCAAAAAATTTCCTTAGAGGAAAGAGTGTGAAGATTGTTGCATTTCGCCCAGGGGCTATTAAGCCCTTCTGTAAGAGATCACTAACATGTTGTTAAAGGTTGAGCCTTGTGTGAATATATATATATATACACACACATATATATGTATATCTGTAAAAAATATTTCTTTCTAAGATTCGTTGCCTTCTTCTTTAAACCCCATCAAATGTGCGGTACTCTTGGAGTAGGGGTGGTGTGAAGTATGAGTTGTTGTACAGTCCAGAAATACATTCACTTCGGGGTGAGGCTCGGCTCGAGAGTGTGGAGAGCATCTGTGAGCATGGTGGCATTTAAATTCTGGAGGTTTTCAGCTGCCAGGGCTGGTTCCCTTGGAGCTGGGAGGGCTTCCTGAATGAAACAGTCATGGCAATGTCTAATGGACCATTCACAACTGGAGACTGAACCCAGACTTCCACTGCAAGGGATGGTCTCTAGTTTCTTGAGCTATCTTCTGGACCTAGAATAATGGTGTGTGTGTGTGTGTGTGTGTGTGTGTGTGTGTGTGTGTGCGTTTTGTCACACCTGATTGTGCCCATGATTTTCTCCTGGCTCTGTGCTCAGGGGTCACTCCTGGAAGGGCTTGGGGGAGCATATGGGATGCTGGGGATCAGTCCAATTCAGTTGTATGCAAGGCAAGTGCCTTATCTTCCCTGCCTTAGAATATTGTTTAAAAATGCATTTTAAAGAAATTGTGTGATTATAAACTTAAAAAAATTTTTTTGAGAAATTCCAGCCCTATTAAAATAGAGATTTTACTGTGGCATGGTATGTGCTATGTATGTGATTTTTAACTGTTGCTTTAAATACAAGATGCAGTGGTGAGTCTTAAAGTCACCAGAGTTGCAGCCAGTGATGAGCATAAATATTCTGAGATGTCTGCTACTACAGTGGTGTGCAATGAGACTACGGAGGATTTTATAGGTGACTGTCCTGGGTGATTGAAAGCAAGTAGTGGTTTGCATCAGAGGGTAGTGTAACTCAAGTCAGAAGTCCATTCCTTGTATACACTTCCTGCCTGCTAGGCTTGTGTACTTGGGGATCAGCGTGCACCAGGTTAATCTCTTCTCTCTGTGTCTGTTGCCTCTGCCTCAAGTGTCCTTCTCCTGAACTTTTCTAGGGCTTCTTGGGAAACCAAGCTGTGAATGGGTAAGTCCCCAAAATTGTTGGGTATTCATTAAACAACAAGAAAGATTCCAGGGTCCCAGAGACACTGGAGACCTCTGATACATTAGCTGGGCTGTTGGATCCAGTGATTCTCAGAGAATTCTAAGATGCTGCCTTCTTTACCACAGGGGCTTCCATCCTCCAGAGGCTAGAGAGATAGTACAGGGTTAAAAGGCATAGCCAATTCGGGTTTGATTCCCTGTACCATGTGGTCTCCTGAACTTGACTGGGAGCAAATCCTGAGCACAGAGCTGGGAATAGCCCCCAAGAAGTGGAACTTTTTGTTTGCCCCAAATATTCCTCCATCCCCCACAAGCCCCAAGGAAGTAGTGATAATGTCTCCAGGGTTAGTAAGATTAGCCTACAGATGAGTGAGTTAAGAAGTGAGTGTTTTGATTGTCAGGTAGGATAATCCATACCTGTTTCTTCAGAGGGCAGATGGAACATGATGATTGGAGTTTGCATGATTAGTGATTAACATCTCTGTGTGATTGGGCTCAAAATACCCTACTTGTGCCTTTCTGATTATTCCTGAAAAAAAAGTGTTTTAGAAACAGATGGATTGGCTGGGCAGTCTAAGGAAGTGTCCTGTGTGAAACAAGTTGGGCAGCTCACGAGACTCAGAGTGGGTGAGGCACAAGGGCTCTGTGGGCAGACAAGCTGGTTCAAAACCTGGTTCCATAGCTTCCGAAGAAGGGGTAGGTCTGCTGATCTTTTCATATCTCAGTTTTGTTTTCTCCTTTTAGAATGGACTGACCCTCTCACTTTGGAAGTTTGGTGAGAAGATTCAAGGAATTTCAATGCTCAATGATGATGATGGTCTATTGGTCATTGGAGAGAGGGACAGGCAAAAGGAGGAAGCCTTCCTAGGTGTTGGAGAAAACTGGAGCTCTAGAGGGTTTTTTTTTGGGGGGGGGGTGGGGCACACCCAGCTATATGCAGGGCTTACTCCTGTCTCTGTGCTCAGGGATCATTTTTGGTGAGCTCCAAAGACCATACGGAGTGCCAAGTTCGAACCTGCATCAGCCACATGCATGGCAAGTGCTCTACCAACTGCACTATCTCTTTGGCTCCATAGAGCTCTATAGGGATTGGATCCAGTGGGTTGAGCTAGGGAGGGCCACTAGCTCCATGACTGAAGGCACAAGACAAAATGTATATGTCACAGTTCTGTTTTTGTTTTATTTTGCATTGGGGAATATCCAATCCAATTATAAGATATTACTCTATTGTTCCATTATGGAGTGAGAGTGGGTATTTACATTGGAAAAATTGATGGGCTTATTTAGAGAAATGATACAGTAATCAGAAGCATTGGTATTATGAGGATGTGGTCACACGGAGGTACTACCTGGTTTGGATGAGGGGATCATTGCATGAGGGCAACAGAATCATCTTTATGAAATTTCAGAGGGTCTTATTTTAGCTCCACAAACCTGGATGAGACTCAGAGCAGATGACAGATTAATGGTGTTTGGGGAAAGCCCAGAAAATACTGTCCACACCCTTTCGTTTCTGCGTCACTTAAGGGCAAAATGCTAAACTGCAGGCCACCCTGTAGGTTATGAAATCCTCTCATAGGTCATTTCCAGCATTAAAAAATAACATTCGAAACAGAATAGGAAAAAAATTGTGTTTTGTTGGTAGTAGGGAGAATGCTTGCTTTTTGAAATTTGGGCAGTGGACTTTCAGGTACAATGCACTTCCTGTTGTGAATTACAGGCAGTCAAATCCACTTAGCTGGAAATAGGTGTGGCTCCTAGTTCTGCTGGCTCTCACTTTGGTCTGATGAGGTGGGAGTCCCCCTTACACTAAGAGGTATGGAAGTAGGTGCATTTGGCAGATAGCGTGGCTAAGATGTTTAAGGACTCTTAAGTTCTGAAATAGCTAACAAGTTCCCGGGCTGCTTATAGGACAGAATTACTCACTTTCAAGGATTGAGCTCTCTAGAAGGGAGAACTGGGATCAGGCTAGGCAGATCTAACTAACACTTCAGACCTAACTAACACTTCAGTCTCCTCCCTGACTTCATTCCATGTTTTTTATTTTGCCACACCAAATGCCTCTGCTTCCAAACATTCATCACATTTCCAGTTACAGCATTTTCTTATCTCTCTCCATTTCCTCATGTTGTGGCGTCCTTCCCTCTGTGATAAGTGGTATCTGGGTGGAGTACAGTCGTCCCTGAGCAGGCTCTGTGCTTTCTAGGTGGTCCCGTGGGTGTCCAGTTAGAGACCAACATCTTGTCAGTCACGTTGGTCTGTACATCCACCTTCAGTTGTAAAACAGTGCAGCAGTGAATTCCCAGGATGTAAAACTAAGATGTGATTCAAGGAAGATGGTTACTCTGTCACTCACTCTAATGTATCACAGAAATCATAACAAAGGCTTGATTTTTATGGACCCAGGAACTGAGGCCAATAAGATTCCATGTGATGCCAGCACAGGCTCAGAGAAGCAGGAACAAAAGACGTAAGTAGAAGACTAGGTGGAGTATCAAAAGCCTAAAGCTCTTTCACTTGACAGTGCCATAGCAAGAGACTCTAACCTACATTAAAACAAACAAACAAACAAACTCACCCTAAGTAGGGATATTGGGAGCAAACCTATAAAATCAAATTTGGAAAGGCAAGCAGGGACTTCCCCATTCTGAAGGTCACCTGCGTCTCAACCTGGGTTGTGTAATTTCCTTTCTTTCACTTTTTGGGGTACTCTTGGCTCTCTCCCCTCTGGAGAAGTCTTTATCGAACACATTATTCTCTTTCCCTCCTCATAATCTCTAAGTAAAATGATTCACTATTTGTTTCCTTCTGACATTGTTTTCTGTTTAGGAAAAGTGACTGGCCTGTAAATGACCTGGGCAGGAGTTAGGACTGATTTTTCTTTTTCTGCAAAGTTGCAATATGTCACTCTAATCCAAGTCCCATGGCTCCCTGAGAAACCACGTGACAGGGATTCATTCCCATGTGTGCAGATCACCTGAATCTCACATACCATCTGAGGATTGCTGAATGGAGCCGGTGAGACTAAAGCGTCCAAATTCCATAGGTGGTCATGGTTGACTTTCTTAGTACTGACCCTCCCAGGCATTCCCCCAGTGACTAAGGTGGGTAGAGAAGAAAGCGGTAGATTCCCCTCCTGAGGCTCTGATGTCACATCTCCCCACTTCACATAAGTAATGCTCAAGTAGGTCTCTCCACACCAACAGGTCTGCAAGTTCACTGAATCCTTCATCTGGTTATGTCTGTGTGAGGCTGGTGTGGGGGATGGAGCTTCCTGAGATCCTGGTCTCTAGAAATTGAATTTGTATGGTCCCTTCTGTTCTTAATCTTTCTGGCCTTTTACTCTAATATTTGATCACAGAGGATACTGGTCAGAGGGAAACAGTGAAGCCCTAAGAGACAGGTGTGCTCAGGGAGGCCCACAAGGGTCCACTCAGGATAGGAGGTTAAATAAGTCTATATATATATATATATACTTGTTCCCTTTCATTCCTGGACATGTTCCATGTGAGACAGGTACCCAGTTTAAGTCTGCCTACTGAAATACATTTAAGTCTTTTCCAATTCCCAAGCTATAATTTTTATTTATTTATTTATTTATTGTTCGCTTTTTGGATCACACCCAGCAATGCACAGGGGTTACTCCTGCCTCATGTAGTCAGGAATTACCCCTGGTGGTGCCTGGGGGACCATATGGGATGCTGGAAATCGAACCCAGGTTGGCCGCGTGCAAGGCAAATGCCCTCCCCGCTGTGCTATCACTCCAGCCCCTCAAGCTATAATTTTTAAAATGCATTTTTTCTTTTTGAGTCACACCCAGTTATGCACAGGAGTTACTCCTGGCTCTGCACTCAAGAATTACTCCTGGCGATGCTTAGGGGACCATATGGGATGCTGGAAATCGAACCCAGGTCGGCCACCTGCAAGGCAAACACCCTACCCGCTGTACTATCGGTCCAGCCCCTGTTTTTTGTTTTTTAAACACATTATTCTGAGAGGGGAGTCCAAGGTTTTGCCCAAGGGATCTATGAGCAAAGAAAAAGCACAGTTCTAAGGAGAAGGAAGTTCTTTCTCATATTCTTCTGTCCAGACTGAGGGGTGGGGACGAGACATGGGGAATGTTGGGGGCCACCTCAAACCTCTGCCGGGTCTTCTGTGCTCTTGCCAGTGAGTCACATGGGGGGAGTTTGAGGAGACAGAGTAGAGTAACAAGACTGTGCCCCTTACCAGACTCATCTCATTGGGACAGGATCCAGTTGTTTGGGGGTGGGTTGAGCTGGGAAGAGACTGGAGAATTCCAGCAGAGACCCAGAACAGAGAGAAATGTGACAGCATCAGCCCCTGGGGGTTGGAGGAGAGGCTGGAGGTCAGCTCGTTAAAGTCCGCTGAACTATACCTGACCTCATCTATTAAGAATATTCTTGGAGTCAGTGTCAACATTTCCATGGGGGATGAGCACTCAGCTTTTCCTGCCCTAGAAATAGCGAAATAGCTCCCTGTCAGGGAACTGAAGATGCAGTGAGCACTGCCTCCCAACTCCGCATGGTGCTGTGTAATTTGGCCGAGCCTGCTGGGCTGGGAATAGTCATGTAGGTGCTATCAGGAGAAATATGTTAGAGCAAAGTTTGGAGTGCACAAAAACCCAAAGGATAAACCAGAGGTATCCAGATGCCATTGTCAACCATTAAGGAATGAGCTAGTGTGGTCAGTGAGTGGCTAGGGCTGCCCCCTACAAGAAAAGCAAGAAGAAGATGGACCATGCTGGTACTGGAGTGATAGCACAGTGGGTATTACAGAGTAATAGCACAGTAATTGCACATGGTCAGGAGCATGCAGCTGACCCAGTTTCAATCCCCAGTATCCCATAAGGTCCCCAGAGCACTGCCAGGAGTAATCTCTGGGTCAAGAGCCAGGAATGACCCCTGAATATTGTTGGGTGTAGTCCAACCCCCCCCCCCCAAAAAAAAGAAAAGATAGTTTGTACTTCCCAAGGGATGAGGAGCCTCCAGATGCTGTTCACCTGAATGTGGCCAGCCCCCAAACTTGTCTCTACAGAAAGCAGGTGGAGAAGGGAGTTAAACCACACCCCAATGATATAATCAGACAAGCTCAGACTAGTAGTAACTTGACATAGACGGTGAATAACTGGCTTCTTCAACAGGTAAGTTGCAAAGGAACACAAGAACAGAGACAGAGAGAGGCTGAGAGAGAATCTATGATTTAAGAAGGCTGAATGAAGGTGGATGTCGGTCTTGATTGGGATCCTGATGGGATCAAGGAATACAGGGAAAAAGAGAAAGTTTGGGTGAATGGTGATTGGGCCTTGGATGACATTAAGAAAGTGCTGGTGGCTATCTTCTAGATGTGTCTGCTTTCCAGGACCTTATTTTTTAAAGGCACATCCTCAAATATGTATGGAATGCAAGACATTGAAAGAGGAAACCTCAGTTTATCCTTGCCAGATGCAGAAAGCAACTCTATTTTAGCTATCTCCATTTGGCATTTTTAAAACTTTTTTTGGTTT